CCAATTGCCTCATATTGCCTGGGGCTTTCCTGGTTTGAACAGTGAAAATTCTATTTTGCAGGAAATTCCTTAGTCCTACACCTTGATCCATGCTGATGGTATAATCCCAGCAAAGAAATTTGGGAACCTCTGTTTGGAAATATGTGTGGTATCCTGCTTCATGTAACAAACTGTTTCTCTAAGTATTTGTGTGCTTTGCTATAGAAGAAACTTTATAGCTTTTAGCTGTGTCCATAGCATCATTATCCATTGCCACACCATTGGGACCACCATACAGAATGAACTACATAGAGTTCTTATTCTATGGTATATATTTGAAGGAGTTCAAAACACATTATTCCAAATATGCCACTCTGGTATAACAATTAATTTGAATTAAAGGCACTTAAAATAGCAGGTACAAAATCACTGTGAAATTCCTTCTGTTTTTTAAAGAGCAGAAGTTGAGATTCCCATATGAGAGATGCCCTCCTTACACTAGCCTAAGGAAAACAACATTCTTATCAAGGACAGGAAGTTGAGACAGAGAATTCTGTTCAGATATTGTTAAAAATAACTCTTACCTTCTAGCCTCCCCACATAACTTAGTTTCTTTGTCACAGCTTACTAGCCATAGACAATTCAGTATATACGTGTTCAACTACATTTCTTTATGAGGGCTTCTACACCCAAATAAAATGTGTATGTTTTTTCTTACATTGATCTCTTTTAGGTTAAATTAATTCACAGGTATAGCCAGAATAAAGCACTAAAAAATTAGAAGTAAATGTTTATCTTCTCTACATATTCATCTATTCCATATATTTTTTTCATGAGATAAAAGACATATAAATGTTTGTTGTAATCAAGCATGGTAGTGCACACACACAATCTTAGCACTGTGGAAGGCTGAATCAGGAGGATCCCAAGTTCTAACTCAACCTGGGCAACTGAGCAAGACTCTTATCTCAAAGTAAAAAGTAAAAAAAAAAAAAAAAACAAAAAAAAAACCTGGGATGTAGCACCGTTCAATTCCCAGAACCAACACCAACAAAATTTTTTTAAAAACACATTGACAATTTAAAATTCCCATACCTGGAGTGAGCCAACCTGCTAAGCAGACCAAATGCCTCTAGAAAATAGCCCTTTACTTCAAGGGTGTCCATGGCCTGTTAGGAACGAGTAGGCACAGCAGGAGGCAAGTGTTGGGTAAGCAAGTTAATCTGCATCTGTATCATAGTCACTGCACATCACTTGCATTATCACCTGAGCTCTGCCTCCTATAAGATCAGTAGTGGCAATAGAGTCTGAATCTGATGGTAAGCTTTATACTGCCAAGTGAGTTGATGTACTTCAACTGTACAACTACATACGATGGCAGGCTTTAAGTCAGAATCTGACACTTTAGTCCATGTGTGGCTCACCCTTTTTTTTTTTTTTTTTTTTTTTTTGCCATGTCTATCCGTGTCTCTTTCATGCACTGTGTACTTGTGTTAGTCACAGTTTTGGTAAGCTTACAAGCTAACCCCAGCCAAAATGAGTAAAAAACGAACATCACTAGAAAGCTTCTTTGAAAAAGGGCAAAGCACAATGATGAGACAGCAGAATTCAAAGACTGAGAGCAAAAAGAAAGCTGCATTAAGAAGAAAATACCAAGAATTCTACTTAAATTATGGGTATATTGCAACAGGTGATTCACATTCTCTGAACTTGCTTTGTATATGTGGCTACTGGCTGTTCAATGAAGCCATGAAACCTTCAAAAGTACTTTACCACATGGAGACCATGCACCTTTTATTAAAACACATTTTTGGAGTTTTTCAAAAGAAAAAAATGTGAACATGAAGAACAGAAGCAATTACTGAAAGCCACCATTCATCAAATGTGTGCGCCCTGAGAATATCAGCCATAGAGGCTAACTGCAATACTAAAGCTAAGAAGCCTTTTACTATTGGTAAAGAGTCGATCCTGAACCTTTAGAAGAAACTTCAGTTCAAAATGTGGCATACTGCCTGATGTGCTGTATATACCAAAAATATTTAGGACAATGATATTATAAATATAAAATATAAAGGGAGTTAAAGGGCAAAGTTTCTACATTTTTCTCAGATTGGCAAAATGCCCCAACAGTAAATTTTTGTGGTACTGAAATAATTCAGTATTTCAATTTTAGTGATAGTTATGGAAATTTATATATGTAATAAAATAACACAGCACTATAAACATCTTTATGAATATTAATAAAGCCATACAAGATTTAACTTTTGGGGAGACTGATTAAAAGATATGTGGGCTCTATGTATTATTTTTGCAGCCTCTTATAAATCTATAACTATTTCATAGTTTAAAAATCACGTTTTAAAGAATATTGACAGAAATAATCAAGAGATGGTATAAGTACAAAAGCAGAATATACACTTGTATATTAAGCATATATTTGTTGTACATAACATATAAAGATCTATAAGAAAAGTAATAAAATTAAAACTAAAATCTCACGTCTCATTATAAATATAATATGACATGACAGCACAATGGTCAAGATCACAATGTGCTTTGGAGTCAAGTTGACCTGGATTCTAGTCTGGCTTTGTCATTTACATGCTTGAGGACCTTAAGGAAATTGCTCAATCTTCCTGAGTCTCATTTGCAAAATGATGATGATGATAACAACGGAATTCTACAGGAAAAAAGCATATTCTCGGTAGAGTATCTGGCATATAAAAAAGTGGTAAAATATCTGAGCCTTTATTATACAAAGAAAAATATCACAACGTTAATAGTTGTTACTAGTTGGTGGTAGGATTAATAGATTTAAATTTTTAATTTACAATTTTGTCTTTCATTTTCTATTATAAACCTATATTTACCACCCATCTCCACCTTCCTCACATTGAAGATTGAATCCAGGGCCTCATTTATATTAGGTAAGTTCTGGACTACTAAACTACATCACTTCCCCTTTTAAAATTTTATTTTGATGCAAAATTTTACTAAGTTGCCTGGGCTGGCCTGGAATTTGCTGTCCTTCTGCCTCAGTCTTCAGCGTGGCTGGGATTGTAGGTGTGCACCACTGTGCCAGGTTTTTATTACTGTACTTTCATATTAAGATATAATTCACATATGATAGAATTCATATATTATGTTTATAATTAAAAAACAAAGTTTCTAAATTGCTCACTTGTAGGGAAACTAGTATAAGATAAATATGCAAGAAGTACCAAGATTTATGGGATATAAATTGTACCTCAATAAAATTGTTTTTAAATGGTTAAAAAAGAAGTGTCAAGAATCAGTGTTTTGTAAGAAAGTATAATTTATGAGTATAACTATATTAAAGTGATAAAGCCTCGGCTTGCCTGAACTATTATAATACTATCATTTGTTCCTCTGCATATTTTCTTTGAAAAGCTTATCTCTATCGTATTTTAAGGAGATTTTCTGGGAATTTATTTTAAGGAGATGACTGATGACATGAAGGCATTAATTCCACAGAAAAAAGTTTTATGTCTTTATAAGTTTTGAAGGAGCATAACATATGTCAGGTTTTAGCCTGGAGAGAAGCAGGAAAAAGCAAAGGGAAAGTCTAAGGCAGAGTTCTCATTGAGGTTTCCACAGAAAGTGCAAGGAGGGTAAATGATTTAGGGTTGTCTAGTTTGAATAATTCGAACAGACTTCAGCGTACAGGAGCTATACCTGCTTGGCTGATACCTGGCTCTGAATTGATTTAAAGCAAGGGAAATATTAACGTGGTGTGTAAGAATTAGTAAGAAATGCTTCATTGCATGGATTTTGCACAACAGAGGAGATATAAACAACTTTGGCCATTAGTTTGGCTCTGTGACTGACGGGTGCCATACAGACAAAGACAGAATCTAAGGAAACACAGTAAGAATGTAACTGAGATAGAATTTGCCAAATTTGGATGTGTGCAAAATCATTTCAAAAAAGATTCCAGAAATCACTCATATAGAACTTTGAATCTGTATATATAGTGCACAGTGTTCACCTTCAATAGACCAAAGGGCATATGAGAAGAGAGAGAAAGTTATCTTACTCTAGGACTCACTAAAGAAAACTAGGGGAAATAGAGGGAAAAAAAATAAGAAAATGGGCTATTATTCCAACTAGAACTCCAGTATCATTAAATTGTTTCTTTCATTTATTCTATGACAATAGCATACTACTTTCTCAGGTGTCACACTATGTAGACTTTGAAACCAAATTGCCCAAATACAAATTTCCCGAGTTCCTCTGATGGTGAGACCACGTGCATGTTATTATTTTTTCTGAACCTCAGTGGTTTCACTTATAAAAGAAGAGGATTAAAAAACAAGTAGAGGATGAGCATTAGTGAGAGGATTACCCAAATTATATATAGATGGCTTAGGTGATAAATATATGTGAATTATATCTTAATATGAAAGTACAGTAATAAAAACCTGGCACAGTGGTGCACAAGTACAATCCCGGCCATGCTGAAGGCTGAGGCTGAAGGACAGCAAATTCCAGGCCAGCCCAGGCAATTTAGTAAAATTTTGCATCAAAATAAAATTTTAAAAGGGGAGGTGATGTAGTTTAGTAGTCCAGCACTTACCTAATATAAGTGAGACCCTGGATTCAATCTCCAATGTGAGGAAGGTGGAGATGGGTGGTAAATATAGGTTTATGCTTAACCCATAGGAATAATTAGTAAGTTTCAATTTTATTACTATTTATATAACCAGCTTCCTTTGAAAGTAAGATATTGCTTTTTCTTGATCTTACCAGAGGATGTCAGTGGAAGTTTTTCATTTTCATATCACAAGTGCCACTGATTGAAAGAGGGTGTAAGATGCCTTTCACTGTTAGATGAAGCCAAATTTCAGAGGAGTTAAGTATTTTTAGTGTATACCTTTGAATTGATAAAATAAATTTTAAGCTTTCATTTCATTATAAGTTAACATACATGTGACATCCATCAAAAGACAACTGAAACTGGCAAAATAATTTCATTAAAATATTAAATATCAATTTCTTACTTCTGTGAAGTCTGATTTATCCAATCTTGGCCCCATTGAATCAGAAATATCCAGTTGTTTGCAATGTGATTCTAATTTTGGAATAGAAGTTATTTGCTAGTTAGTTTGGTTTAATACATTCATTTTTTATAATTATAGTACTCAAAAGAAAAACATAAAATTATGTTTAACTAATGTTTATAGTTACAATAAAATAGGTATATACTTGGGTAACATCCCACTCAATTACTGCAAAATTATTATTTTTTCTGGCTTTTATTTAATCAAGCAACTGAAATACTTTTATTTTTCTATATGTATGCATTCATTTTGATATGTGACTTGCCTTTCTTTTTTACTACCCCAATTTTCTCTAATTTATCCATCAGCGTCCCCAGTAGACAGTTATCTTAGCTCACTCTTGTACCCCCATCCAAAATAAATGAATAAGTGAAATTATTTCAAAGAATTTCTGAAACAGGAGCAGAGGTTGAGATGACTGGAGAATTACAGTTTGAGGATAGGCTGAGAACAAGGAGAAAGGGAAAAGATTGTCAGCAAGGCCCAAATCATGTTTAGGGATCAGAGGCCAGAAAGATAAGATATATTTTACTTTAAAAAGTGAGGACAGGACTGGGAATAAAGCTCCATGGTAGAGTTCTTGTCTAGCCTGTGCAAGGCGCTGGGTTCAACCATCAATATAGGAAAAAAGGAGGGGGGTCAGACTTCAAACATTCTTACCATCTATTGTTAACCATTGTAACACAAGTGATAAAAAAAATCAGTTGAACATAAATTCTACAAACATCAGGACCTTAATTCTAGCCATTAATGTGACAAGTCAGATTTTCTTGATTAATCTCCTACAGGAAAATCTTTTTGAAAGTAAATGCACCAAAATCTATGGTTTCTCCAAAGGGGTGGTACTGTTACCCTTTGTCTCCAGTGTGCTTTGTGGAAATACACAGAAGATTTTTTGTTATTACAATAATGGGGAGTAAGTGTACAGGGAGAACTACTGCAATTTCTGTGCAATCAAGGCTTTTCCCTCCTGTCAGGCATTCAAGTGGTAAAAAATCTGCTTATAATAATTCTAAATTTGGAAGCTAATTCTATTTTATGTATAAGAGTACAATTTTGCTATTGCTTTTTTTTCTTTCACTTTTGGTGATAGGGATTGACTCCAGGGTGTTCTGCATGCTAAGTAGGTGCTCTATCATTGAGCTACACCCTCACCCTTAATTTTGCTATTGAATTTTCCTAGAATGTAACTACTGTGAAAATTTGAGAATTAAATGTAAAATTAATTCTGGAACTCGATCAAGAATTGTTGATAATTTCAGAAAATGAGTTATAGATAACAACATAAATTGTATCTGAATTCTAATATGACAGACATACCTGCATTTGAAGTTCTCCTAGTCAAGGGGATTACACACACACACACACACACACACACACACACATTCATTTGTCCTTATTTCAAAATGTCAAATACAAAGAAGAAGAGCAACTGGATAGAATTTTACTTTTTATTTTTATTTATTTATTTTTTGTTTGTTTGTTTTTTGAGACAGGATCTCACTATGTAGAGTTGAGACTGACCTGGCACTCACTATGAAGCCCAGGGTGGTCTTGAACTCACGGTGATCCTCCTGCCTCAGCCTCCTGAGTGCTGGGATTACAGGCGTGCACCACTAGACCTGGCTAATTTTACTTTTCTTATATCTAAATGTACAGTAAAAAGTAGAACTGTCTGACTACTGCATTATGTATTCTAGCAAAGTTGTAATAAAGAAAATATATATTGAAATTAGTATATGTGATTTAATGCCTTTCTTTGTATTTCTCTTTTGTATCAGCTATGACATCTTTCCTTTAAAATTATGTAAGTAATATTTTCTAAGAATGACATAGTACAGTGGTGAATCTGGCATGCATGTCAAACATGTTATCAATGAAAGCTCTGCAAGGTTCACCATCATTTTCATAGGATAATAAAGGTGTATTACAGAATATTTGTAATAAAATGGGACATTGGCCTAAAAGGGTTGAGAATGATTATTCTCAGCTTTTCTATATTTTCTTTCTGGAAAGAGCAGAAGAGACTAATTTCATTCATAAGAACTTCCAATAACATTTCTCAATATTGATTCTTTATCTGAAATCAGTGCCTCCACACACCTTCAAAAAAAGAGAGAAAAGAAAAAACCCAATAACAATAGTATACTTACCAAGCTCAAAATCTGACTTTTGAAAAAATTCATGAAGAACATTTTGAACCTACAAATAAAGAAGAAAGGAAGGAAGGAAGGAGGAGAAAGAAGAAAGAAAGAAAATGAAACTCTTCAGTTATCAAATATTCAGTGTTTTAGATTAAAATCTACCTATAGTTTTTCTATTTAAGTGTTGGTGATCTTTCCAACCAAAGAATAAAAACAGTTATAATTTACTTTTACTTTAGAGAAAACTTCAAGGGATACAAAGTATGATCCAACTATATGGTGAATGTTTAAATATTTAAAAATTTATATCAATAAAAGGCGCACTGCCATTAATCCCTCAAAATATTCCCCCTTGCTTCAAACACATTTATCTCATTATTTTTGTTACTTTCTGAAGTACTTCTGGAAGACTTTCATGACTGTCTTAATGTGATAAACAAAACAGCAAATAATGCTGCCACATACCATCCAATGGAAAGGCAGGTTTGTAAAAATACTGTGGTGTGTCCTTGTTATAGTTTGTATATAGATGGACCCCAAAAGCCTCATGTGGTCATAGGTGGGGAGTTTTGGAGGTGGCTGGATTAGTGGTTTTTTTTTCTTTTTTTTGAGACAGGGTCTCATTATGTATTCAGGGTTTCCCAGAACTCATTATGTAGCCCAGGCTGGCCTTGAACTTGAGGTGATTCACCCACCTCAGCCTCCCAAGTGCTATGATTACAGGTGAGAACTACCACACCTAGCTTGGATTAGTGTGAGAATGTGGATTAAGAGTGTAATACAGGGGACACATATGTTTAAATATGCTATTGTTTCTCTTACGTGAGTAACCCAAAAAGTAAATAAGAGCCAAAATGTAGGGTAGATATTGGGAAAGAGAAAGAAAATGTTCAAATGGGGAGGGGAACAAAGGAGGGAGAAGAGAGAAGGGAGGGAAGGGAATAAGGACAAAAAAATTTAAAAAGAATAGAAGGAAAACAACAGAAACAAAGTTTTATAAATGGAAAGGGGAAGGATTCAAGGGAAGGGAGGGGAATGGGAAAACAAAAGAATTAAGATAAATTATGTACAGGTACAAATTCCCTATGATGAATGTGTTCATTATGTATGTAAAGAATGTACCAATGAAATTAATTTTTGAAAAAGAGTGTGATACTCTTTAAGGGTATAGAAGATAGAACCCCACACCGTGGGTGTGGGTGGCACCAATCAATAGACTTACAGCCTGGATGGAATATAAAGGGAGAGTGAAGGCAAGCTACTACTACTGCTTACTGCGTGGGTTCTTGCTGCCTATCTGCCTGCCACACCATGGGGTGTTTCTCCTCTCTGATGCCCCTCTGCCATCCCACCCTACTTTGGAACTAGCTGACTATGGACTGAAACCTCTACAAACTGTGAGTCTTAATAAATCTTTCCTCTTGTAACTTTGGGTGTTGGATGTTTTGCAGCAACAAGAAAAGCAACTAAGACTATCTTCATCCATCTTATTCACTGGCTCTGACACCATGCAACTTCTGGCTCCTCCCCCAAAGTCAAAATGACCATGAAAAGTGAAGTTTTGAATCAATTTTAGGATATTGAGGCAGCCATGGTAACACAACTAAAGATAGGAAAAAGAACTTTCAAAAGTGCATCAGAACATGGCAAAAATGATGGGATAAGTGTTTTTGAAGCAAGAGAGAATATTTTGAGGGGGATTAATAGCACTATGTCTTTTACTAATTTTTTTTAAAAATTAAATATCCATCATAGTTTTTTTGCCATACCTTCTATTAAGCACTTTCACAAATATGTCCTCAGTGATGCCCAGACTTTTTGTTTAAGAATGACTTGGATACTGAGAATAATCATGTTTGCTCCCTCCGGGAGACAGTTTCAGTCACCCTTCAACAATGGGCATGATAGAGCTGAGGTACATTTAGCAAGTAGACAGGAAAACTTGAGAGTCCTCGATACTTCATTTTTTTTTTTGACTAAAAATGAAATTTCAGAGTTTTTCTTGGTCCATTTTTAAAAGCAGATTTTATTTTTTTAGAGAAGTTTTAGGTTCATAGAAAAATTGAGCAGACAGTATACTGTTCCCATATAATCCCTGCCAGAACACACACACACACACACACACACACAGTCTCCCCCTACCATCAACATCCAGCACCAGAGTTGTACATTTGTTATAATCAACAAACCTACACTGATAGATAATTACCACCCAAAAGTCCAAAATTTATGATAGGGATCACTCTTGGTTATTATATTGTATATGTTTTGACATATGTATAATGACAGGTACCCACAATTATAACATCATACAGAATTGTTTCACTGCCTTAAATACCACTATGGGTCTACCATCCCTTCTCACTCTGGGCAACTACAGCTCTTTTTCCTGTCTCTGTAACAGTGATGGCAAGCCTTTTAGAGCTTTCAATGATATAAACAGCTCACTACAGCACGTATGCCACAGGTTTGCCACCACTGCTCTATAATTTTCCCTTTTCTAGAATGACATGTACTATAGTTGGAATCAGACAATAGGCAGTCTTTTCACATTTGCTTCTTTCACTTAAAATAGCTCATTCTTTTTTTTGCAATAATGTTACATTGTATAGATATATCACAGTTTATTCATTTGACTACCAAAGAATATCTTGGTTGCTTCTAAGTTTTAGCAATTATTAATAAAGTTCCAAGAAATATTTGTATACACAGGTATTTATGTGGACATAAAGTCTTCAATTAATTTTGGTAAATACCAAGAGTATCTATTGTGGGATCATATGTTAAAAGTATGTTTAGTTGAATTCTTTGGGATTTGTGTTAAAAACTTCATAAAATTTATCAACTTAATCATTGTTAACATTATGAATATATTTATACGCATATTTACATTGTTTCAAAATAGATCCCGAGAACTTTTCATCCTGCAAATTTGAAACAATCCACTAAACAACTCTCCTTCATCTTCTCCTAGCCCTTAGTAACATCATTCTACTTCTTGTTTCTCTGAATTTAATTACTTTAAATACCTCATATAAATGTAATAATTAAGTACATGTCTTCTAAGAGTATATTTAGCTTTGTAAGAATGGATATACTATTTTGCATTCCTACCAACAATGAATAAGAGTTTTTGTTTCCTATATCCTTGACAGAATTTGTTAGTGTTTTGGATTTTAGCCATTCTAGTAGATGTGTAGTGGTATCTCATTACTGTTTTACTTTGCAATTCCCTAATGACATACAATGTTGGGGCATTACTTCATAGACATATTTGCTATCTGTTTATCTTCTTTTTTAATTTAAATTTTTTTCTTTTTATTGAGTTTATTGGTACAATCTAGGTATACAATACAGTTACATTCATTATTAATATCCTGTACCTTTACATAATAGGTCTTCTCATTTTTCCCCTTGTCCCTGCCCTCCCTCACCCCCTCCTCACCTCCCATTTACAAACACTTTATTTCCATTTTTTCAGTTTATTATATTTTTTTCCTCTCCCTTATTACCTTTCCCCCAACCTTCCCACTTTCCCTACACCTTTAGCCCTTTACTTCCTGTTTCACATTATTAATTATCTCATTAAGATCCTGTGTACTACTATAGTTTTTCACACCAGAGAAACTATTTGGTATTTCAATTAAAGAAATCTCTGTATGAACATTAAAAATAGGGAATCCTAAAATAAAACTAAAAAAGGAAAGTAAAAGAGAAAAGGCAATGATGTAAGATTAAAATAATCCTTAATTCTGAAGATGAAAATGGTCCCATAACATATTTAAATTGCTTCTTGCTCTTGTAGTCTTATCTTATTCTTTTTTCATTATTTAGAGAATACTTTATTAGTTTCTGTAATCAAACCCACGTAGATATGACCTTACATATTTAGTACAGTGTGTTACCTCTGTACAAATGGAAAAAAAATAAAAATAAAAAAATTAACATTTCTAGACCAATATGGCTGTCCATTTCTGTACAATGCCAACTCAACACAGTAAATTGGGATAACTTTTTCCAAAGTTGACAGCACTGTTAAAGTTTC